TTCTTTCCACTGCAGAACTTCTGTATAATTGGTCTTCTTAAAATCACAGAATTGGAAAGGATCCCAAGGGTAATCTAGCCCAGCCCCCTTCAAGGCAGGCATCACAGCTAAAGAGTCCCTGACAGATGGCCATCCAACTCTTGTTTAAAAACTGCCAGTGAAGAAGATTCCACCACCTTCCAGTGTAATCCATTCAAGGGTGTACCTAGGGGTTGGCCAGGTTGGCCCCCTCCAAGGGTGCAGGCCCGGGACGGGGGCACAAAATTGTGCCTCGCCACCCTGGTTCAGAGTGGCTAGGACCCTTGCCTGCCCATGCACTCTCCTTGCCAAGGGCACAAGGGACGGGGAGGTGCTGGTACAGCTTCTTGCCAAGGGCTCAAGGGAGCCTAGATACACCTCTGACTCCATTCCCCTGTTAAACAGCACACAGTCAGAAAGTTCTTCCTAATGTTTAGTCACAGTCTTGTTTCTTGTTCCTTCTTCCATGTGATAGACTTTTAGATATTTGAACACAGCTAGCATATCACCTCTCAGTTTTCTCTTCTTAAGGCTAAACATACCCAAGTCCCTCCCCTCAACCATTCCTCAACAGCGTGATGCAGCAGCAGAAAAACCTAATGCTATTCTAGGCTGCATCAGCCTAGTCCTAGAGTGTCCAGATCAAGGGAAGTAATAGTATCACTCTATTCTGCCTTGGTCAGACTACACCTGGAATACTGTGCCCATTTCTGGGCACCACTCAGTCATGTATGAAATGCAAACTCATATGAAAGATTCAGTTCCCCAAGGCAAATTTTCACAAGTCCCCAGGACCCCACCATTTTTTATGGTGGCAGCAAAACCAAAATTAAAATAGACACAGTATTAGGGGGTTTGAAACCCAGCACCTTCATGGAAATGCAAATTGTCCCCCTCCCCAATCACTGGGCTAGTCGTCTGATGACCAGAGAGGGAGCAAAAATCCCCTTCTCAGTTGATCTGCACATATTGACTGAGGAAGGGGCCAGGTGCTGTGTGTGTGTGTGTGTGTGTGTGTGTGTGTCTGCATGTGAGATTGGGGTAGCCACACCCACTGTTGGAATGTGACCCCTGAAGGCTTGGCCTAGAGTGAACATGGCCCTAGAATCAAACAAAGGCTAGTCACCCCTGATATCAGACATATCGCTACCAGTGTAGAGCTTCCCTCTGGGTTGGCATTGCTGACATCAGAACCCCCCTTGTGCTTTGGGTATCTTATATGTTAGTAGAATAGTGCGATTATAAGGAAGCAGCTGCCATGCAGGGGTTCACAAATGTGCTCATGCTAAGCCTTGGAGAGACTAAAAAAGGAATAGGACATGTCACTGCTTTTCGAACCTCTCTGAGGCATAGTATGACAGGGACAACTGGCCCCTCTACCATACTCTGGCTTCTGTAACGGTGTTCCATTGCACCAGAAGTGATTTAGTCATGCTGGCCACATGACCCAGAAAGCTGCCTGTGGACAAACACTGGCTCCCGGCTCCTCGACCTGAAACGAGATGAGCGCCACACCCCATAGTTGCCTTTGACTGGGCTTAACCATATAGGAGTCTTTTACCTTTACCTTACAGTCACTCAATCAGCATGATACATTAGTTAAGACCCCCCAAACACCCCTGCTCACTGGAATGTAAACATTTTGGCTGGTTACCAAGCCGAATCAAAATTTGTAGACCTCTATAGCCATATATTTGAAGCCACCCATGAACCTTATTAAACGCTGCCAGGTTGTGTGCATGAGTGAGAGAGACTGCCAGCAGATGTGTGTGCTGAGAGTGTGTGACTGTTTTGTTGATTGCTCCTTTTGCTCTCAAGGAGATTAAGCTATTTTTAGACCCAACTATTGGTGTGAAGCCAGCAGAAACGTTACATCTTTTAGATTTATGAAAGTTGCTGGGCAGATCTCTAACACTTTCATGGAGCTGCATTTATTTGTGTTTCCCCAATCTTTCTTTAATTTATTTTTATCTGAGCACCAATTTGCATAGGAACCCCTCAGCACTGATAGAAACCCTGGTAGGGATGGGAGTTTGTCAGTAATCTAATTCATTTGACGTTTGGTGGTAATGCTGTGCTTTTTTTCCCTTAAAAAAGTAATTTATTTTCTAATTATTCCTTGTCTAGTACACCCGTGCATTGCTGAAGTGTCGCTATTTAAAATATTTATCTCTCTGCGCTGTGTGATCTGCTTGAAGGCCATAGCAGAGCAATGAAATAAAAGCACTCATTCCCAATGCAGGCACTTTACTTTGACTTGTCTTGGGCTGTTTTGACGTCTCCCTGTAAATACATTTATTTTTCGTTAGGATGTTTTGGGGTTTGTGGGAAAGCCAGAACCATTATGCTATTTATACATTACACACAGAATGAAGGAAGATAAATAAGTGTAATGAACTTTTGCAGAAGCCATTCCTCTGCTTTTCCTACTTATCAAATGTAAGTGTTTCTCTGTGTGCTCCACCTCTCTCTTCTGTGCAGTTTCATTCTGTTTGGACTGCCATCAGCACATGTGTTATTTGTGATTCCAGTTCAGCTCTCTTCTGCTGGAAGATCTTGATGCCCTTTACAAACATTAATGAAGTTAACCTCGCAGCACTCACCCTCTGTGTTATCCTCAGTTACATAGCCTGGGAGAGTGGCTTGTTAAAGTCAGCATGGTGACCTTGAATTGGAAACTAGTTTTCCTTCTTATCATGCTCTCAACACTTCCCTTGTTTTCCAGATGCAGAAGGGCTGCCCTTTCCATAAAACAAGGTGACGTAGTCATGGGAAGCAGCCTAGAGGGACGGTACTGTTTCCCTCTGTCTGTCCTCCAAGAAATGTCATTCTGAAAAATAAAGAAGAGGGGTGTCATTTTGACTTCAGGTTTCAGAAGATCTAAGGCCAGCTTTGACAAGTCAGGCATTGGGTAGATTGGCATTACCGGAAGAATGTTCTGCAATATGAAGAGGCTGCAGGAAAGCTGCTATATGTTTAGTGGTCTTCCATGTCCTTCTGCACGAATATCTCTTTAAGGACCTTGATGTGCTGAATCAGTATAAAATTATCATGTTTGGCACAAAATTGTTTAGACCAAGGACAACTGGACATGTTCCAATTTGGGAACTTCGCAGATGTTTGGAAGATAACAATTCCACTCTAGAGGAATATGAAAAGGAGCATAAAAACGTTAAATAAGTGTGTTCAGTTTTCTAAACTGGCAGATTCAATGATCTTTCTCTTTCCACCCATACTTTCTCCTTTTGTTTGGGCCCTTACAAACTGATGCCTTCTCAATCTTTCTTTCTAAGCTCATTGAGTCTGAGAGTTTTATGCTGCGTTTTAAAATAACTTCTCTTTTCTTCATCTTTGAACTGCTAATCTCCTGAGCTGAAGGATGCTGGGACAAAGAGGAGTCCTCAGAGTGGAACGTCATAAAATTAGCTTTTGCTGTATTAGTGTTTGCTCACTTATAGATTGATGACTAGCATTTTACTGGATTGACAGGCAGCACACCTTTCTTCTGGGCAGGAGATGCATGTGGTGGGCACTTCCCCTTCTGCTGCAGCCAGCTTGGCTACACTAGAAGGATGCAGACAGAAATGTTTGTTATCATTTGCAAGTGAAGTGATTTCATCAGTGCATCTGATGTAGTGCAGTTTTATCAGAATTGCCAACATTCCCCATATTGCATTTGGATACCAGCTATTTAAGTGCTTTCACTTGTGTAGAAAATTCATATTTGTGAATCATCTTATGTATTGAGTTCTTTCATGTAAGCCACAATGAGTGTATAAGTGCAAAGGGACTCTGCAGTTTGCAGCAAGTGCTGCAAATTGGGACTCAGATAAATGTTTGTGTTTGGAATTTTTTTAATTTTTGGGGGGCAATTATTAATATTATTTTATTATATTTATATCCCATCTTTCCTCTATGGAGATCAAGGTGGTTTACATAGTTCTCCACTTTTATCCTCACAGCAACCCTGTGAGATAGGTTAGGCAAAGAGTGAATGACTGGCCCAAGGTCACTCAAGGAGCTTCATGGGTAAGTGGGGATTTGAACCCTACTCAGATAAATACTGTGACCCTTTTCTGTTACCCTTTCTTAGGTTCACTGATGTATTTGCAGATCAAAAGAGATCTAAGTTGTAAATAAGCACAATCTCAGTCATCAATGAACACAAATATACAATAAAGATTATTTTATTTATTTTGTCCTGTCTATGGCTATCTGCCCTCCCCAGTAGTCAAAGAGTTGTAGACAAGGAGTTTCCTCTTCTTTGTATAAGACAGTGAGTTTAACAAGTCACCTGCCAAAGAATGAAGCATAAGCTCTGCAATTTCTTCCATATTTTGTCTTCTTTTGGAGTTGGTGGTAAGGGGACTTGGATGGCTATAATTATTTATTCATTATATTTGTATACCTCCCTTATAAATAGCTTCTCTGGGTGCTTCACAGAGAAATTAAAAGCTACGAAGATTTGCATAATAGAAACACTAATACCAGCTATAGAAACCACAGAAACAAAATCCATCTAAAATAAGCATTATAAACAGCAGCTGAAAACAATTTGAAACCAGTATAAAAGCTGCAAGGAGATAGCTTGGTGCAAGAATCTAATGCACCAGATTGATGTCTGCATTTCAATTAAAAGACCATAGTGTGGGCATCAATATGCTCTGGGAAGCATATTCCATAAATGGGATGCCACAACTGAAACAGTGCCCACTTCATTAGGTGGGGCACCATGGTAAGGTGGGGAAACATGGTGAGGAACCTCAAGATGATGATCCAAGGCAAAACATAAACATATGTATGGGAGAAAGTGATCCTTCCAGTATATTGATCACAATAATTTAGAGTTTTAAAAGTTAAAACCAACATTTTGAATTGGGCCAGAAATGGACTGGTAGCCAGCTCAGAGAATGGCATAATATGATCATGTTTACCAGTCCCCAGCCTGGCCAAATGACATTTCTGGACCATTGATAAAGGCAGCCTGACAAAGGTAGCTCAGTTGGTAGAATGTGAGACTCTTAATCTCAGGGTTGTGGATTCGAGCTCCACGGTGGGCAACCCCCTGCATTGCAGGGGGTTGGACTATATGACCATCATTGTCATTTCCAACTCTATGATTCTACCATCATAGCAAGCCTATCTCTGTCCAGGTCGGGTCATGGTTGGTAGAATTTTCCAGTGAGTAGTCCTCACCCTGTACTCCCATTTATCTGAGGCAACCCAGCAGGGAACCATAATTGTGAGCATCAGCCTGGACAAAGGTTTCACCAGGTGGTAGCCTCTCCCAGGCATCTTGCACCCTTTGCATGGGGATGTGAAGTGGGGTGAGGCCTGCCACCACCTCACTGACGCTTTGCTTTGTCCCAGAGTGGAACAGCAGGTATTTAATGAAGCTGGAGAAGAGGATGCTAAGCTGCTTGCACTCCTCAGCCACTTCCTTGAATTCCCTCCCTGACTTCTTCTCATTATACTTGCTGCTGTTTAGACCCTGTTCCTTTCCTCTTTCCTCAAACAAATACCCCCTGCTAACTTTCCCTGTTTCACATCTTTAATCTATTTGTATCATCTGATTTTATTCTTCCCTGCTTTAATTTTGGTCTTGTCTTGCCCATTCTTTAAAAACAAAACAAAAAACCCATTCCCACAGCCCTCTTTTCCTCTTGTTAACCATCATCCCATCTCTTTGGTTCTTTTCCCTCTAAGATTCATTATCAAGCTCTAAAATATGTTCTCTGATAATTTTCTCCTTGATCCCTATCAGTCTGTTTTTTGTATCCCTATCTGGTTTTTTATCTGCTCAAGCAACTGAAACTTCTCTAATCCAGATCTCAAAAGATCTTCCCTGTGCTAAATCTCATTTGTTTCTTTTCTCCTCTCCTATCTGTCTTTTGCTTCAGACACCATAGTGTCATGGATATTAATTGAAAATATAGGTTTAATTCACATTTTCACTCTTGCCTGATACACCTTTCTACTAGTTAACTTTGTCCACATACACCCTTGCTCTCCTAGCAACCTATTGCCCTAGCAACCTGCTTACCTATTTCACATTGTTGACATACAGTGGGATCAAAAAGGAAGGGAAGAATTTTAGATGAGATGGAATTCAGTAGAGGATGCTAGTTAAGAAGAAACAATTCATTTCAAGATGGAAACAAAATAGTCATAAATCTGTTTTATAAATACCACACATCAAAGTGGAGGGTGCAAATTAGGGGTGTGCATCGGGTTTGGACAAATCCTAAGCTAAGGTAGAGTGTCTTGGAGGGATACTTTGTTTGCTTGAGCTAAAGTGGAATCTGTGTGAAGCATCCCAAGTTAAAGAGGGATCTCTTTGTTGCTCCTCATTGACTCAAATGCAACAAAACAAAACAACACACTGAGGACACGTTTGTGAAAAGCAAAACTAATCTCTCCAAGCTTAGTACCATATAAAGAAAATGCCAGAATGGGAAGAGGGTCTGACTATTTTGACTGGCAGATGTAATTTGTCATAAGAGGGATTGATTTCACCAGGGCTATCCAATCTCAGTGCTTTGAGGGAGGAATGCTTATGACAATAAAAAGTCTTCCAATAAATGTGTCCCTTGCTGTTTTGCAAGGCTGGCATGTGTTAAGAGTTCTGAACTGGTGGACTTGGAGGCATTCGTCCAATACATCCTTTCTGATTGTGTTACCAACTTCTTTTCATACCATTTTCTGCCCATTTATTTTATTTTGAGTCATTTGTTATCATTAGCAGTCACTGACACTGTTTCAGTCTGAGTTTGTTTTAGCAGTATACAGCATTATCTCCCTTTCTCTAATTCTAAGTCTGGGGCTTCTGTTTGTGAATTCTTGCAAAGTTAGTCAACTTCTGTCAAAAGGAAACAAAGTTAAAGCTGTTTTTTATTCCCCACAATGGATGAAAAACTAAGCCGAATCAGGCAGCCTCTGAAGTGCTTCAGATCAAATAGGGCTACCTTCTGAAGTTCTTTTTAAAGTACCAGTTCAGGTTCTGAACCAAATGTTATAGTCTGTGCACATCCCAAACTCAAACATTACCCCTAAGTTATTACTTGTTTTTTTAATCCTGGGAAGTAATGTTGCTGAAAATTCTATGTAGGACTCTCTTTTACTTAAGTTTAATATAAATAATTTGTGAGTCCAGTAAGGGATCGGAGGCTTTCAGTATCTCACCTGCAGTTTCTAGTAGCTGTCATAATATTCTGAAATTAAGACTAGCTCCTTAAATGCATCTTTTTCTTTGCTAAACTCCTTGAAATTACTTCCTTGGGTAGTGTGTAATGCTTCTCATATTATGTATTATTCTGTTTGATTTTATGAAAGTGAAATAGTTGTCTCCTGAGTTCTTGATAGAAATTAGATGTCAAATCAAAACTTCTGCAAAAACTACAGGAGTGATGTCTTTTCCTCATTTTCCAGCACCAGGGAAAATAAAAACACTCATTCCTGCCACTTGGACTCTTTACACCCTTCCATTGGTGCATTTTTATGCCTGATAAATACTTGCTGCTTCATACTGTCTTGTTCTTACCTTATACTTCTTACCTTTGCCCTGCATTCTCCTCCTCTTTCTTGTCTTGTTTTATTTCGCTTGTAAGCCTGAGGTCATAACCTGTGCCTTATTTTTCTTTTATGTAAAGTACCTAGCCTTTGTAAACAAGTTAAAATAATTTTAATAGTATTAATACACTTATTAATACATTGTGGAACAAGATTCGTTCCATGAGTGAGTGGATCACCACTGTCAATACATGCAGTGGTATCCTATTTGTGGCAAGAAACACACATCTAACTACTATACTGTGTTCATCGCCATATGTGCTTCTTTTGCTATATGAAGATTATCTTAATAACATAAGAAGAACCATCCTGGATCAGTCCAAAGGTCCATCTAATTCAGCATCCTGATCTCATAATGTCCAACCCAAAATCAGATCCTGAGCAGAACAGCACTCTCCCCATTTGTGATACCCAGCAACTGGTATTGCCTCCGAATGGAAGTAGAGTACTATCCTATAAGAAAAAGTGAATGAAGGTCTCTGCCATCAATACTAGCAATGTTCAGTTCTTTTCTGAATCTTCCACAATTATCTGAGGGAGATTTATCGACAGGAGTCTCAAGATGCTGGTGCTTCAGGTTTCTAGGCCGGGTCAGAAAAAGCTTACGCAAGTTTCGATATTTTGTTCTAAATTTGTTATACTGATTACTTATGGGATGGGGACTGAAAATTATTTGATTGGAGATGGCATTGTAATATAGGTGGCATGGAGAGAGCTAGGATAGAACCATCCCAGCACCTGGACCTGGTATTTTCTGTGTCATGTGTTCAATTTTTCATTGTTAATGGTTTGTTTTTGTTTTTCTTTTTTTGCAAATGAGACATGTGGTTTCAGTTTGACTTTGCCCTCCGTGGCCTTTACAGCTTCTCTTTGTTTCCGAGCTGCCTTCTACATCTGCTCTTTCAATAGAATTACTCTTTGGCAAAAGAAGCGTGGCCTTCAAGAGGCCCTGTAATACCTGATCCAAATTGAAATGTTGAGTCTCGAAGAAATTTACCATACTCAGACTGCTTTTGTGACAACATCATACCCAAGAGGTGGGTTTAAACTTTGGTCTGCCAGCACTGATTCCTAGTTGCAATAGACTCAACAAAAGATATGAATATTGATCCTCAGAAATTTCACCTTCTCCTGTTTTGCATCATTGTGGCACATGGACGGTTAGGGAGTTTGGCCATTGACTGCTACCAAGTCTGGCAGAAAGAAGCCAGCATTTGTTCAACCTAGTGGGTACCCAACATAAGTCACTCGGCCTTTTCTGTGCTCTGGTCAGTTCTTTCTGTTGATGGTGCTGCTTTTTTCTTGTCTCCAGTGCTGCCACCTCCAGCTGAGTGCTGTTATTGCCTATGGCAATAAATGTGCTGATTTAAAACTGCTTTTCTCCTTTAACTGGGCTTCTTCTTGTCTGTGTGCTCTGCCATTGCAAGCCACAAACTGGCTTTTTAGTCCCAGATCACGCGTGGCTTTGACTTTGACTACCAATGTCTTGTCCATGAATTGTCTTCTGCAAAAGTCTCCAAGCTGTGTTGGAGATGCGTGACATTAAGACAACTAATTCCAGGAGGCACTTCCTACTAGGGATGCAATGTTTATCTAAATAAATTGATTTAAAACCATTTGATTGACTGAAATTAATCTTCCTGATTAATTAGGTGACAGACTTTTGTTTTGTTTTTTAAAGGAAAGTATTTTAGTATGACTGCACAGAGAATGCTATGATGTGGGTGTGCAGGAAATGCAGTTATAATTAATTAATTAATTAATTAATTAGTCTGTTGATTGAAATGTGTGATGAAGTAAGCTTTCTTTTGAACAGGTGACAGCCCTACTTCTTACAAACAGAACAAAAATGAGGCACCAGATAGCAAATACGTTATTCTCAGCTCCAGTTCATTTATGCTGTAGTTAATTGTGAGATGGTCGTAACTGACTAGCAGGTGCTTGGTAACCCATTCAAGATTAGTACCTCTTTCTGCCTAGCTCTTCTTTTTCCATTCCACAGCATGGTGGCAATCATACCAATACCAAAGCAGACTGAAAATGAATTCCTTTCTCCTTCATAGCTGAACTATTGTACAGAGAAGAAGCTTGATGGACAAGGTTTATGCAGAGAGAAACAAGTTACTAAAGATTATTTGGAACACATTATCCATTTTTAGTTAGCTCAGCTGTGCCCCTCGGCAACCTTATTATGGAATTTCAAGGATCTGCAAGCTTGTCCATTTCCCCCCTCAATAAAATAGTTTATCCTCTTATGATTCGTGATAGTTTGGGTTGTAAATCTGAAGAATGTTTAGGTTGAGAGTCTGGTCTGCCCAGACCAATATCTTGAAATGTTTCCTCTTTGTAACCCACATAGCGAAATATTGAGAGACAATGTAAAAGGCTTATTCCTATATAAAGTGTTTTTATTTGGAGTTAAAAACTCCTGTTGTTGTTTTTTAATTCCAGTTTGTTTTATCTTCCCTTTAAATTATTAAGTTTTTAACAA